CGAGGGCCCGCGTCCCTCCGCGCCCCGGCGGGAAGGGCCACCCCGGCGCTGCGCTGCGCGCTGGGCCCGCGACTCCGGGTCGGATGGGCCGGTCCGTACCTGGTCTTGAAGTCCCGGTTATAAATAGTCCGCAGCCGCTCGCGATCGGTCTCCGTGTCCAGCCCCCGAGCGAGCAGGAAACTCTGGAAGCGCTGGCCCGTCTCCCGGAGCTGCCGGCGGCTGAACTTGCTGGGCATCGCGGCGGCGGCTGCGGCCCAGGCGCGAGAGTCCGTGGAAATGAAACTGAAAGTCGCCGCCGCGGCGGGAAGTTGGCGGCCCTGGGACGAGGGTGCAGCAGGGAAGCTCCCCCCCTCGGACCGCTGAGCCCGCGGGCTGCCTTCGCGTCCCTCCTCTACCTGAGCCTTCCCCGCGGTGCCTCCGTCCTGTCCCCTCCCCCTTCGCAAGAACTCTTTCCCGAGGAGCCTGACCCCTCCCTCAGGGCCCTCCCCTCACCCCGGCTCCCTCCCCTGGCTGCCAGCCGGGGTATGAACGTGGCTATCGCCCGGGTCCGCTGAGCAGCTGTCCAGGGCGGCTGAGCCTCCGCGAGGCTAGGCGTACTCCCACTCGGCAGAGCAAAGAGCAGGGTCGCAGACCCGGGCGGCCGCAGCTGGACTGGGGCAGTTCCTCCAGCACCTCCCCCAGACTGCCGGCCCCGAAACCACTGCGGAAACGGGCGGCCGCCCCCTCCCCCATTTTCTCGGCTCTGGCTTTTGGACGCAGGGGGACCAGAGTCAAACAAGTTTGGCGAAAGCAGCAAGCATCTCTGAGATAAAGGTGTGTACGTGTGGGACAGAGGCGCAAGGGGTTCTGCCAAAATGAACACTTCATGTCTTTTCCCCTTCACACAGGCGTCATTATCTCACCAGGCTAGTGATCCTTACCCTGGAGCCACATGCTGGATACTTAATTGCAGTCCAGCCTGATTGTTCTTTGTTAGTTAGTGTGTGTTCCCCAACCATTAAAATGTAATTAGCGCCCTGAGAGCAAGGTTAGACAATGAACAGTTTAACACCAACATCAGTACCAGGAAAAGACTCGTGTGCTTAAGAGCCTACTTAGACAATCTAAAGAGGGTCGGGTGGCAAAAAAATACGTAAAAATAAGCCTGTAGCATTTACCCTCCAGAATAAAATAAACACACTAGAATGGGATTAAGATAGTAAATTTTATAAAGAATTAAATCAGATAGACTAGAGTTGCAACTACATCAAAGCTAATGTTGTTTTTCAGAGTAGTTCCCGACGGGAGGCCACACACTCAATCTAACCTGCCGTGACCTGACCAGGACTCAGGTCAACATCCCCGCTGGGCCAACCCTGTATCTTTTTCCCAAGGCCAACAGCGAAGAAAAGCCAGGAATAACAGGCATTAGCAACAGGAAATGCTGTGTCAGTGAAAATCAAAGCTACAAGAAAAACAGAGCACAGGGAAATATTTTGTGGTAGAAGTTAATTATGCAAATTAGAAGAAAAAGAGAGGGAAGCAGCCACAAATTTTACCTTTTCTCTCACCCAATTATTTATGAGGCCATGGAGGCCAGGAGAGGGCAAACTCCAAGCCAGGCATGGTGGAGATGAGGCAGGAGATTTCAAGTTGGGAGTCCAGCCTGGGCAGTTTAGTGACTGAGACCCTGTCTAAAAAAATAAAAAGGCCTGGGACGTAGCTCAGGGGAAAGGCCCTGGGTTCAAGCCCCGATACCAAGAAGAGAAAAAAAAGTGTGTGTGGCGGGGGTGTGTGCAAACTCCTCCACGCTGTTGTTGCTTTTTGTCTCAAACACTATCTTCCATACCCAAACCAAAGGTCTGGCTCAATTCTGACCACCTAATGTAAGCCATTATTGCTGGATACATAACCTCCCCCCTTTCTCTGGCCAAACCTATCTCCTAGATGTCCTCCACACACACAAGCAGCTGTATTATAGTAGAAACTTGGTAGAAATATGATGCCTCGTGGCTTTCATTACATTGGAACTTGTCTAAACCAGTTTCCTCTGGAAAAATGAACTTCACATGGAATTGTGGTTGTTTTCACACATGCAGTTCTAGATATCTAGAATGGTCTTCCCACCTTTCAAATCCAGCTTCTTTGAAGTCTTCCTTAAATCTGCAATTAAAAGAATCTGACTTCAAAGTAGGAAGGCTGATTTTAGTGAGTTCAAACAGGTAGTCTGGAAGTTAACTTTGGCCAGCAGCATTACTGGAATAAATCTATAGTTTCTCAAGAGAACTACTTTGCCGATTAGAAGCTTTGTATTTTATTTTCATTACTCTTTATAGTTTCTATAGCTCAGATTTCAATTTTCTCTAGCCTTATATATTCAAACATTTCTAAGGCAACTACTAGAGAAGTTGTATTTTTTCAATTCTTAAACACTGAAATTGTTCTGTCGACTACAGACCAAAGGAGAGGATGTGGCTGGTACCACTGGTCCTCATTCTTCAAAGGTTCGTATTTGCAAATTTACCTACAAACTAAAATTTATTTCCAACCTCTCCAGTCCATACTTACAGTGTTCTTGTCATTCAGAGTCATGCACAAAGTGGTGGAAAACTGGAGTTTCCCAGTGTCCACCATTCCCAGCTAGAACACTGATGCTCTCTGCCTTGGTCCTCATAAACAAATGTCTTTTTCATGGACTGTTGAAAGCCATGTTTTTTGCCCTTGTGTGCTTTGTGCTGTCTTTCCCTGCTTAAGACAGTCCCTAAGAATTCCTGTTGGATAAGCTGCGTTCAGGCATTCATTAACGGTATTTACTAATGTAGCATTGTCAGTGACTTTACAGAATATAACGTCTCAATAATGAAGAATTAAAAAAATACTGAAGAATTAACTGTATATTGACATACTCAGCCACCTTTGACAAAGGAGCCAAATATCTTCAATGGAAGAGATAACCTCTTTAATAGTGCTGGGAAATTGGCTTTCCACATGCTGAAGATTAAAACAAGGACTGTATCCTTCATCACGCATTAAGCTAAAATCTAAATGGATCAAAGATCTAGTATTAAGACAAAAACACTAAATCTGCTGGAAGATAAAATAGGTAGAACTCTTGAAGACATTGATATAGGTAGAGTTTATGAACAAAACCTTGACTGCACAGGAACTACCAAAATAATCAACAGCTGGGATCTCATCTTATTAAAAAGCTTTGCACAGCAAGGGAAACCACCCAACAGAGTGAACAATCTAGTGGCAAAAAATTTTTTGACCAATTTTGCATGATATCTGTTAATCTGAAAAACTAATTTGAAGACAATAATATGCAATATAACCACCACTGGTGAATTCCTATCATCCTGTTTAGTGAACTCTGTATCATTTCTAATGTTTTTTTAAACATTTTTTTCTCCTTGATCAATCTTGTATTCTTACATGTGGTAATCTGAGCAACTTCACTGAAGATAACAATATGTACTGTAACAACCATTGCTAATTTCCTATCCTTGCTTTGAAATTCTGATAATTTGTTTTTGTGTTGTTTTGGTCTGTTATTATTATTATTTTTTTCTTTTTAAAATAAAAAGAAAGGGCCAGGGATATAGCTCAGCGGCATAAGCATTTGCCTGGCAAGCCTGAAGTCATGAGTTCAATTCCCGGTACCAAAAAGAAACGAAAAGAAAAGAAAAAGGACTATCTAGACTATGTAAAAAATTTAAAAAAATATCAGATTCCCCCAAACTTAAAAACCCAATCCAAAAATAAGCATCTGAAATGAAGACACTTCTCAGATGAAGTAGAAAGGGCAAATGTATGAAAAAATGTTGAACATTACTGGTCATTCAAGAAGTCAACCAATAACAAATGCTGGAGGGGCTGTGGGAAAAAAAGAACCCTTCCCCACTGTTGGTGGGAGTGTACACTGCTGCAAACCACTGAGGAAATAACTGTGGATATTCCTCAAAAAACTAAAACTAGGGCCGGAAATGTAACTCAGTGGTACAGTGCCTGCCTGGCAAGCATGAAGCTGTGAGTTCAATTCCCAGCACCAAAGAAACAAAAAACCAAAAAACTAAAACTAGAAGTTCCATCTGACCCAGCTATTCCCCTTCTTGGTATCTTCCTGAAAGAATTAAAAGCATCATACCACAGTGATATATGTTTATAGTGGCAGTTTGTAATAGCTAAATCTTGAAACAGCCCGAACGCCCAACCAGTAAGTGGATAAAGATGTGTTTGGTCTATGCAACGAAGTACTACTCATCCATAAAGGCTCATCTTGAGCCATTTCTAGGTAAATGGATGCACCTTGAGACCGTACTCTTTAAGTGAAATAAGCCAGGCACATGTAAATACATTATTTCTCTGGTGTGAGAAACCAGAAGTGTAAATAAGGACTGAAATGTGTGACAGTGTGGAACAGGAAGAAAGTGTTCAAAAGGGGAGGGGAATAAGAGAGGGGGAGGGAGGAAAGGAAAAGAAACAAAAAGGAAAAAATGGAAACAAAGCTTTTGTAAAAAAGGAGGGGAAGAGGGGGATGGAGGGAGGCCAGGGGAATGGAAAAAAAGAACCAAGATATACCATGTACAGGTACAAATTCCCTATGATGAATGTGATCATTATGTACACCTAAAATGTACCAATAAGCTTAATTAAAAAATAACTGTGTATCTTCCTCCTTAAGATACCTTGGATTTGAAGATGTGGGATTGCTGTTCACTCTGAGGGGGCTTGTAACTCTTATTCTGTATGTTTACACTGAAGAATTTAAGTTAGCTCTATTTATTCAATAGGACAGTCCAGTTTTCTTCTGTATTTGTTTTTTTTTTGTTTTGTTTTTCTCCCGTACCGGGAACCGAACTCACGACCTTGCGCTTGCCAGGCAGGCACTTTTGCCGCTGAGCTAAATCCCCAGCCCCTTTCTTCTGTATTTACCAATCTTCCTTCGTTTGGTTTTCCACGTATTTGACAGTGGTCATGAGCATCTATTGCACAGAACTACAAATTAATAAACTGGCATCCAGATATATGTATCAGTCTTTTTTGATTTTGGAGAAACATGTCAAGATTTGCCAAGTATCTTGTGAATCGAAATCAGAGTTCTAGATTATTAAACAGAGAACAGGCACTGTAAGTAGGCAACCAACAGAAGGAAAACGATTGAGGCTTGGATGGAAACAGCCTTCTGCAGCACCATTTCAAACCCAAATACAGGAGTGAGGCTTCACAGAAAATTCCTTTCTATATGGCTGGGAAGTCTTTGCCCTAGGACACCAGACTGACTGCAGCAGTGTGTGATACAATAGACACAAAGCAAGCAACTACTGCCTTGGGGCAGGTTAAGAAGTCAGAGGGTCTGTACAAGACTTGGCAAGGAGGGTTGATTTCCTCCCATTTCTACAAGTAACTAAGGGCTTTACATAGTCCTGAGATTGAAGTCTTTTTTGGAATAAGGAGATCAGTGGACTAGCTTAGGGGCAGGCTGACAGAATTAACAAATTGACAAGAATGTTTGAATCTGTGTGTGTTATAAGCAAAGAATGCAGTACAGTTAAATGTGTCAAAAATGTGGGAATCTGAACTGACCCTGGACTAAGGGTGAGGCACAGAAACTCCCTTTGGTTCTCTGTTGAGAACCATGATAGAAGCCTTTCCCACATTTCATCAGTAGCTAAGCCAGACTTGAAGGAGAGGAAAGCAGTGTGTTTATGGAGTTAAACCAATGCGAAATATTACCCAAGTTCAAGGTGCTTCTTTAAATTCAAGGGCTTTTTAAATTTCTACTTCCTTCCTAGTGACTGTAATTATACTTAGGCCTTGCTTTCTGAAAAATGGGCAGAGAACTAGATTTTTCTTTTTGACATTAATGGAAATCTCCAAATAAAACCTTTGTATTACTGGTAGCTTTTGGGTAGAATAGTATGAGCCCGACACTTTGCTCACACTAAAAAAAGCCATTCTTTCCATGTCCTTATATATTTACTGAGTGTAACAGTTGAAAGTAGGAACCAGTTTCAGAAAGCCTGAACATTCTCAACAAACCAAATCAAATACAGCTGAATATCTTACCTTGAGAACAAAGGTGGACGAGATGGACCAAAAAGGAGAGACTCAGACAATTTTAGAACAAAACAGGTATATTTCTATTGGACTACCTGGTACAGAAGATACTGTGGTATGATGGATGGATAGTATGAATGACAAATAATACAAATATATTTTATTTGAAATAAAAAATGCTAACACAGCTTTCACTTAGAAACAGACTCTGGCATGACTGTATTACTGAGCAAAAACAAAGCTGAAGCATAAACACCTTTCTTTTTTAACATGTATCTGGAGATAGGTAGGAAGACACTACTTGGTTTTTAAAAAAACTGACCTCCCTTTAAGGCCTGGTCATAGAAGTGTAAACAATGTAAATGAATCCACCATTATCAGTTGTCCTGTCGTATCTCTGTCACCTGTATATTCTGAGATCACATGTTTACCTGCCAGTATACCTGGGAAGGGTTGCTATGTCACAGTTACTTTTGAGTTCTTGGCAGGCAGGACTATGGAAGAGAAATTTGGAACAAGTTTTATATCCTATTTAAAAAGCACTAGTATTCCCTTAAATAACAGGTTACAAAAGAGATACTGCCTGGAAGTTACTCTTTCGCTTTGGTTTAGTTTTTGTGATTTATAGAGCTGTTTGATTCACTTGCTTAAAGTACAATCCTGCCACAAAGTATTAAAGGACAGGATACCCATGATTCCTTCAACCCTGCATTTTTCAAGTTTTACTACATCCACAGTATGTCAGCAGTTCTTAAAAGCACATACACACAAAAACAAAAATGTAAATGGGTAAAATTCTTCTAAAATGCAGGTGTTAATACCTACAACAGAGGAGGAGACAATGAGAGAACCCCCCTCCCCCAAAAAAGCAAACATGTTCATGTGCAGAAATGGTTCAAGTCTTTGGATTTAAAAACAAGTTCCTCTCAGAAAAGCTGGCTATCATGGAATTTCCAGAATATGTCTTTCACCCCCCCACCAAATGAATCTGAAAGGCCCTAATACAAAGTTTTGAAAAATAACAGTTATGAGATGCTGTAAATGATGATTAGAGCAGTCAGGGGGAGAAGAATGAATGTATCTTCCATTTAGCTACAGTTTGTAGCAGTCTCTTTACCTGTTGGATCAGGAAAAACCACTGAAGTACCAGAATAGGGGTAACAAAGTACTGAACATATTACCTAAACAGTAACAGGACTTCATGGCTAGGAATATTTTCTAAATAGTAAAATCACATCAAGATAGATTTCTCTCTCTCTCTCTCTCTCTCTGTCTCTCTGTCTCTCTCTCTCCAACATAAAACAGCAGGAAAAAAAAGATCTACAAGTAGATACAGTGATAACAGAAAATTACAAGGCAGAGAATGTAAAGTCAAGACAATGCTATAGGTTGAACAGTAGGCTAGAAAATCTGTTAAGTTTGAAAGCCCTAGCAAAATATCACTTTTGTTTATAAATCACTTATTTATCATATGACCACGTGCTGAATCATTTTCTTTCCACATACTGAAGAATCCTACAGGCAGCCTTTAAGCATTCTGCATTTCTTTGCCAATCTTGTAGCTGAGTATCTTGTTCCAGTCGATTTTGGTGCGTGTAACTGGGAGCTGCCGGCGCAAGGCCTTGAATGTGGTGTCTGACATTGTTTGATAGTTTTCACTAATTGCAGTCTGCAACAGATAATTGAAGATGAGTTGCTTGAACAGAAATGGGATTGGTTGTGATAGCAAAAGAAGCCTGTAGTTAAAGCACATGCTACAAATGAAAGATAGGACGTATTACTTCTAGTGAGCTCCTCTCCAGTCTCTGAAGCAAGTCAAGTAATTCAGTTTTACTAAAATAATCCAGAAATCTTAATTATAGGCAGAATGTCAAATTACAAGTTCTGTAAGTTCTCAATATTTAATAGTACTCAACAACATATGTATTAATGTTAAGGGACACAGAAAGTCCTAACAAAATCTGTTAATAGCAAAATAATGAGATTCAAAATTTAATGCTATATCTTACCTGATACTCATTTTCTGCATTTTCTATGATTTTAATAAACTCCTTGGCAGTTTGGACTTCATTCTAATGAAGGAAGGGAAGAACGTTTTTAAAAAGTATGTAAGCAGTGAATAAAAAGATACTGAAAAGTCAATCCAGATTAACTAACACGTATATAATAATTCTTAGTTTACCAAGTGTTCCCATGCATGGTAGCTCCTTTGATTCTTACAGTAACGTTGTGAAGCAGAAATGATACTACCATCTCCTTCATTTTGCAGAGAACAGAATCCTCTTAAGTGACTTGATCATAATTATATAGCTTTAGAGTAATAAAGATGGGGTCTGAATCTAAGAATTCACCAAGATATTGTCTTCACATCTTGATGCCTTAAAAATATTCCTGGTTTAAGATGGGATGAGCAATCCCTGAAGATCTCACAACTAAAGGCCTTGTGCATGCTACACAAGTTCTCTACCACTGTGTATACCCCCTTCTCCCTACTGGCCTTTTTCACTCTCCTCCTCTCATGCTCATATTATATAATGCAGCTTCCTAGAAATAGGAAGTGCAGTGACATCATTTTGAGGGCTAACAGAGTGTATGAAGCAGGTAGGAGAATCCAGCTGTCTTTATTTTCTATTAAAAAAAGAAGTGCTGGCGATATAGCTCAGTGGTATAGCGCTTGCATTAGCATGTGGGAGGCCTGGGTTCAAACACCTGTACTGTAGGAAGCGCACACACACACACACACACACACACACACACACACACACGGATGGGGTCAGAGTCTCAATACATAGTCCAGGCTGGCCTTAGTTAGGGCTAGTGTCAGACTCATGATCTTCCTGCCTCAGCCTTCTAAGTCCTAGGATACAAGCATGTACCACAATGCCTTTCTAGCTTTTTTTTGGGGGGGGGTGGTCTTTTTGAGACAGGGTGTCACTGTGCAGTTCAGGCTGGCCTTGAGCTCACTTTGTAGCCCAGGCTGGCCTCGAACTCACAACAATCCTCCTGTCTTAGCCTACCAAGTGCTGGGATTACAGGTGTGTGCCACCACACTTGGCATCAAGTGTGTCCTAGCTGTCCTTTCATAAGCCAGCATATTACTCAATTTGTGAAGATATAAATTAATGTCATTCTTCTATTTTAGGAAGGGTTGGAAAATAGTTGTTTTCCCAAAAAAAGTCTCTTATGTTAACATTTTTTTTTGAGTGGGGGATGGAGTTCTCTGTTGTCCATGCTGATCTTGAACTTGTGGGCTCAAGGAGTTCTCCCACCTGAGGCTGGCATTAACAGCTTATCTTACATTTGACTGGCTCCTTGCTTGCAGTACTGGGGAGGGAACCAGGGGTCTGGCACTGAGCTACATTCCCGCCCTTTATATTTGACATCCTATCTTGCTAAGATGGATAGGCTCCCCTCAAACTTGTGATCCGCCTACCTCAGCCTTCTGAGGAGCTGGTATTACAGGTGTATGCCACTGGGCCTGGCTTCCAGTTCATTATTTTAAGTTAAAAAATATTTTAACACTTGTCTTTTATTTTTTAGTAAATATTGATAAATATAGCACACATAAAAGTTATTGGGGATACTCAATAACTTCTAAGAATATAAACAGATAATGAACTGGCATGGTGGCACATGCTTGTAACTACTTGGGAGGCTAAGGCAGGTCAATAGCAAGTTCAAGGCCAGCCTTGGCAAATGAGGAAGATCCTGTCTCAAAAGGGTAAAGGATGTAGCTCTGTGGTAGTGTGTCCTAGGTGGTTCAGTACCACCAAAAAGGAAGAAGAGAAGAGGACAGAGAAAGGGAAGAAGGAGGGAAGAGAAAGAGGAAGAGAAGCGGGAGAAAGGAGACTACAAAAGAGTTCTAAACTGGGCATGGTGACAAAGCTGTAATCCCAGCACCCTGGAAGACTGAGGCAGGAAAATCGCAAGTTTGAACCTAAAGACCCTGTCTACACATAAAGAAGCGGGGGTGGGATGTAGCTGTGTGAAGGCCCTGAATTCAATCTCTAGTACTGCATACACAAAAGACAAATTTAAATTTATTAATGTAGCTGTGTGAAGGCCCTGAATTCAATCTCTAGTACTGCATACACAAAAGACAAATTTTAAATTTATTAAAAAATAAATTGTGTGTAACCAGGGCACTCTGTGAGACTGAGGAAGGAGCACTGTTAAGTGTGAGTTGAGTCCAGCCCAGTCCAGTCCAGTCCAGCCCAGTCCAATCCAGCCCAGTCCAGTCCAGCCCAGCCCAGCCCAGCCCAACCTTCAGTGTGACTCTGACCCAAAAAGCAAAACAAAACAAAGCAACACAAATTCTGTCACTTCTTTCAAGACACAGAACCCAATGCTTTCTGCTTGAACACTATAAAAATGTTTCTCTAGTGATATCAGTGCAATCTAATAGGATTTAGTTTGACAAAGTTTTCTAGGCATTTATTGAAGGAAGGTGTTGCTGTCATTGAGTCACTATTAAAATTGAAGAAGTACGTAAGAAAGAAGTTTCCCCAACCCACAGTCACTATTTTCAGTTGAGGATTTTAAGCCTAGTACAGTAGCAAGTAGTAAGAGGCACTAATAAAAGATACTAAAATTAAACCATCAGCATTTAGGTGCAAAACTATTACTTTTGAGAGAAACAAGGAACAATTGAGACAGACCTTAATATGTCTTACTCACCGAAACATTTATTGAGTCTTGCACATCTTTATGACTAACCAATTGAACATTGCCATCTTCATAATAGTGAACCTGTATGAGATAATATTTAAGTTCATATGTAGTTCATACAGAAACCTACTGTTCACGGCCCAAACCCATGCTTAAGCTATTCTTTTATTGGTGGGCCATCTTTACCAACTGAGAACAAATAAATAATATAACCAATGATAATTTACAATAGTATTATTTAAAACATGGAGAATTTTTATTGTGGGATATGGTGGTACATGCCTGTAATCCTAGCACTTGAGGCTGAGCAGAAGGATCATGAGCTCAAGGCTAACCTGGACTATACAGTGAGATTCTGTCATTCATTCATTCATTCATAAAAATAAAAGAAAATTCATAGAATACCAAAATTTAAGAATTCTTTCTTACCTGGGTGTGGTAGCACATGCCTATAATACCAGTACTCTAGGAGACTGAGGCAGGAAGATTCCAAGTTTGAGCCCAGCCTGGGCAATTTAGTGACTTAGACCTTATCTTAAAATGTAGAAACAAATAAAAAACTCTTTCCTTAGCAGAGAAAACTGATTGTTTATTACATCTGTGCTAGAGATATAAATACAAAGATAAATTAAGATATCATTCTTGGGTCTTGTGAGCCAGGTGTGGTGGTACACACCTGTAATCCCAATACTCCGGAGGCTGAGGCAGGAGGATCTTTGCAAGTTCAGAGACCAGCCTGAACTGCATACTGAGACCCTGTCTCAAAAAGACCAGAAAAGGGTCTTGTATGTAGTTTAGGCTGTCCTTGAACTTACTATGTAGCCTTGAGCTTCAGTTGATCCTCCTGCCTTAACCTCCAGAATGCTGAGATTATAGGCATGTACCAGCATGCCCAGCAAGATACTACTTCTAACAGTAACGAAATAATTAAAGTAAAAATTTTAACTAGTTTATTTCTGTGAAAACCAAAAAGTTTTAATGGATTCTAATACCCGATACATCTTTTTCTCTTTTATTTATTTTTCCAGTACTGGGAATTGAATCCAGGGTATTCATACTGAGCTACATCCTTAGCCTTTTAAAAAATTCTGAGATAGGATCTCACTAAGTCATTAAATTCTCCAGGTCAGCCTGGAACTTCAATCTTCCTGCGTTGGCCTCACAGAGTGCAGGGATTAAAAGCCTGCGCCACCATGCTCAGCTCCTCATGCATCTAAGTAAACCATCATCAATAATGGCAAGTAAATATGAGCAAGTATGGGAAAAGCTTAATTGGACAGGACTGAAAACAAAGTATTTCAATAGTGAGACTAAAAAGTTAAGTGTGATAAAAACTATTTTAGGGGCTAGGATGTGGCTTAGTCAGAGCACTTGCTTTTATCAAGCTTGAGATCATGGTCCTCATCACTGCAAAAAAAGAAAAAAGAAAAAAGAAAAAACCCAAAACAAACCACTTTTGAAAATAAAAGGTAAAGTGAGGTGCTACAATTACAAAAACAATTCTTTTTGAGACAGGATCTTGCTGTGTAGTTCAGGCTGGTCTTGAACATGTGGTGCAATCCTCTTGCCTCAGCCTCCTGAGTGCTGAAAAACAATTCTTTTTAAAAATTTTATTTATTTAATTATTTTTTGTCTTTTTGAGACAGGGTCTTGCTGTGCAGTTCAGGCTGGCCTTGAGCTCATTTTGCAGCCTAGGCTAGTCTTGAACTTGCAATGATCCTCTTGCCTCAGCTTCCCAAGTATTGGGCCACCACGCCCAGCTGAAAAACAATTCTTTAGAATAGGAAGTACATGGCAAAACACCAGATTTGAAGATCTGTAGAACAGACTAGAAGATGCAGAAACAACTCCAGACATACTTAGCCACCTAATCTTTGACAAGGTGCCAAACACATTCACTAAAAAAAGACAGCCTCTTTAATAAATGGTGCTGGAAAAATTGGCCCTGCACATGCTGAAGATTAAAATTGGACCAATATCTTTCACCATGCACTAAACTCAATTTGAAATGGATCAAAGATCTAAATATTAAAACAAAAACAGTAAATCTGCTGGAAGATAGAATATGTACAACTCTGAAGACATTGGTGTAGGCAAAGACTTTAAGAACAAAACGCTCATCACACAGGAACTATCACAAAGAATCAACAACTGGGATCTCATCTTATTAAAAAGCTTTTTAGCACAGCAAAACACCAATTGAGTGAAGAGACAATGCACGATGTGGGAAAAAATGTTTGCCAGCTGTTCCTCAGACAAAGGATTACTATTGAGAACACATAAAGAACTAAAAAAAAAAAAAAAAAAAAAAAATCAGACCTCCCAAATTTAAAGACCCAGATGAAAAACTACAAATAGCAAATAAATATATGAAAACGTGTTCAACATCACTGGTCATTCAAGAGATGCAAATTAAAGCAACACCAAGGTGCCATCTCAGCCCAGAAAGAATGGTTATTATCAAGAAATCAATCAATAACAAATGCTGGAGGGGCTGTGAGGAAAAAGGAAGCCTTTTCCACTGTTGGTGGGAGTGTAGACTGGTGCAACCACTGTGGAAATCAGTGTGAAGATTCCTCAAAAAGCTAGGATTGGAGGTACCATCTGACCCATCCCAGAAGAATTAAAAACATCATACCACCGCTACATATGTGCACCCATGTGCACCTAAAAAAAAAAAGGTATGTGAAGGCAGCTTCCAGAGCTGAGAAACTGGTATTTTTATCTTCACCTTCTCTCACCTGAGTTGGGCATGTTCTTGTGGCTAAGATACTATAGATATATATGAAAAGAGTAAATGCAGACAGTATCTACCATGTATACCTTTTTTTTTTTTAAGATTGTGTCTCACTATGTAGTACAGGCCTCAAACATATAGACCTCCTGCCTCAGGTTCTTGAGTGCTGGAATTATATGCATGGGTATACCATGCATATAATGGGTACACCATGTATACCCAGCTCCATGTACACTTTTTATTAAATTATTCCACTAAAAAAGAAAATTTTTGCTAATTATTATTAAAGCAAGACAACACAATAGAATATAGGTACAGTTAGATACTAATCTTTCCCCTTTTCAGTGTAACTATTTAATCTGAATTTAGTCTTAAAATTAAATCATCTTAAATTTACAAAAAGTCAATCCTCCTCTAGGGTATTAGATTTCAACTCAGGCAACAAATGACTTAATAGCTAACTTAATTCAGCTGCCCATTTGTCTATCCTGACACCAGTACTAGAAATACATTTTGCTGAGCTGTTAACATGAGAAATCTGGCCATTCTCTCCAGTTTCTCTGTTTTAGTTTAACCTAATTTAGTTTTATTTGTTCTAAAATGTTCTGTCAACCCCCCCAAAACACAAAAAACCCAACAACAAAAAAGCCACTCGCACAGTTTCATTAGAACTAAGAGTTAAGGTGGAGAGATTAGAAAGAAGGGGAAGTAAAAAGAATTAAGAAGTATACCTCACACTTAGCTGTATCCCCAGCCCTTTTAAAATTTTTAAATTTTGAGACAAGGTCTTGCTAAGTTGCTAATTTGCCTTGGGTGGGATAGAACTTGTGATCTTCCTACTCCAGGTTCCCAGAGTACAGGAGTGTGCCACCTTGCCCAGTAACAGTTAACTTTTTTTGTCTTTTTGAGACAGGGTCTCGCTGTGCAGTTCAGGCTAGTCTTGAGCTTACTTTGTAGCCCAGGCTGGTCTTGAACTTGCAACAATCCTCCCGCCTCAGCCTCCCGAGTGCTGGGATTATATGCGTGCACCACCACAGCCGGGAACAGTTAACTTTTTTTTTTTAACAGTTAACTTCTTCATACTTAACTTATTTTATTCTTTCCTATAACTGCTGTTTGGTAATTCCTGAAAAAATACTACCTTTGAAACAAAAAAATAACAAGCAGTATACTCTATATGATTATCCTTTAACAACCCAGAATAGCTATTTAACTACTGCTCCCTTGGAAGGAGAATTTGATTTGATTCTATTCTCTGCTTCCTTTTTCATTGAAGTCCCTTTTCATCTACATATAGTTTAGTCCCTATTTATAATACGAGAACACAGAGTAACTTGCATCTTTATTTTAAAACGTGGAGTTTTAACCAGGATCCATAAATGTGCTGGAATCTCACCTGAATCTTGAGCACTCCAACTACCTGGGCTGTAGGCGGTGTGATGGTGAACTTCCACTCGGACCTCCAACGACCATTCCTATTAAAACATACATAATGCTTCAGAATTAGCAATAGCACAAAAATGAGACGACCTGCCACTGAGGCAGAGAAACTGGAAAAGGGTAAGTGTGGGGGATACACTGTCATTTACAAGCTGACAAAGCCAAGCCTCTGTCTACTCAAATGTAAGTTTGGGTCCAAGTGACCTCACACCAGAAGCCTTTCTAAGTTACTTGGACTTCTTCCATTTAGCTTTTGCTTCCCATGGAGCAGAAACATGCCTACTGTGTTCAACTGTCTAAAAATACAGTAGATGGTTAGGCTGTTGAATTATATAATGAACTCAAGTATTACCAACCCAAGTAAAACTCAAAATTTGAACAGGGCACTTCATAAATCAATTGTTTTCACTCAATATACAAGTATATTTTTAAAGATACAATTATAAAATCTTATAATTGGAGAGTCTAAACAATGTCTAAATTTCTCACTTGATAGATGGAAAACAGGTCTGTAAGTCAAATAATTTACCCTAACATAGATTAAAACTCAACCTTCAACTGCTGGTTTCTTTCTAATATAAATTAGATACAAATAGAAGAGAATATTTATTTCTTACCAGAAATTTTTAGGCTGGAACTGGTGGCTTTCAATACATGCAATAATAGTCTGTTGCCCATCTATAGTTTTAGCATATACCTATTATTGGGAAAAAAATAATTAGACTTGAAAAACATTTAATCTAAATGACACACTGTACAAAAGCAGTGTGCTAAATCTGAGGGAAAGAAAAAAACTTGACAAAGTAAGTATATGACAAAATTGTTTTCCTCAGATGTGAACACAAAGGAGAATGTGTTAGGTCCTGACAGAGACACTTGTACAATGAACACAGAAGGAAATACTGCTCCTGGGTTATTAGAGTACCAGCGAGGTGCCACATAGGTTGGGTCTTAGAAAACAGATGAGATTCTAGTAAGCGGAGAATGAAAAAGATGAGGAAATAGCTCGGCAGGAAACCAAGAACTTGTCGGGCGAATGGCAATTAGTTCCTTTAGGTTAGAGGGTGTGTACAGGTCATGGATAGTGGGAGATGAAAAACAGGGCAGTCGACTCAGGTCATGAGGTAATAGATGTAAGGTAATGGACAAATAGCAAAATAACATGACCAAAACTATTATTTTGGAAGAATAATCAGTACCGATGTACAGGATAATGCAAGTAAAGCTGAAGGTTGGTTAGGAGTCACAGAATTATCTTCTAGGCAATGATCTAGGGTAGTATTAGTGGGAATAGAAAGGAAGGACCATGGACAAAATACAGAAGCACAATCAACTTCTACCAATATACTGCAAGTGAAAGGAAAAAGAAAGGAGCCAAAGTATTAGCACAGTTGGATGACTGGAAAGATGGTGGCGTCATTAACAAACTGGGAAATCTGGATGTCTAGCTAATAGAAACAGCAACTTTTCTTTAGAACAGGAAAAGTGAATAAAAATGCAACTGCCAAGGAAAAACAAACAAATAGTAGTTTATAGTCTACAGAGGAAGTTTTTTTTTATACATATATTTACCCTAGACAATGTTTTTTATGTATTTTCCTTTTGTTTCAATCGATCTGGTGAAAAAATTGTTATCATCTACAAACAATAAAGTTGAAGTTCACAGAGTTCTTTCCCAAGGTCACTCATAAAATACATGGTGAAGGTAAAACCCCTAACAATTGTTTCTGACACTAAAGTCTGTGTTACTCTATGTTGAACGGCCCATATGCTTTCAAGAAAGAGAAAGACAACTTTGGGAACGTCTACATTTACAAAGGTAGCAGAGAAAAAAAGCGATGACTAGAGACAGAGTAGGAAGACTTGGAAGGTGTTGATATGTAGCCAAAGTAAGGATCATTTCTACAAGTGTCGGTTTGCCTCAGTGTGAAATAGCATACAAAGTCAGGGACCAAGAAAAGGCCAATGGATCACGCAGTTCAGAAGCTATTAGTACTCTTCTTACAGGCCAGTCTGTCTAGCAGTGCTGGTGAAGCTATAGCAGGCGTTCTGCAGTGGGCTGTCTGCATCACTGAAAACTCTCAAAGGTTTGCCATCACTGCTCTATAGAATGAGGACTAAAGTAAACAGCCAAAGGTTTAGAAGTAGATGGCTAATGTGGCCAATAACAGCAGTATAGAAAGAATACTGATTAGTTGGTTTGGTGGTGAAGGAGGGGAACGGGGAAGGGGGAAGAGAGAGTGTAGAGAAGGGAGAAAGCAGGACAGAGAGGAGAAGACAGTGAGGTAGAGAGAAGGGATAAAAAACAAAATACGTAACTTACAGGAGTGCTTACTATTGACAGAGTTATCTCCACTTAGGAAAGGAAAAATAAGACCATTTCTACCTAATGAGAAATACATCAGCAGAGAAAATGAAGCTATATGAAGAGATCTGAAGTACACAGGGCAGTATGACATCAAGAATAAGGACCATTCTTCCTCAGACTCAAGTACAATGAAAAGGAAGATTTCTGAGTGTGGAGAGAAAAGAAATAAAACCATCCCATATTAGCCTCAATCTTAATAAAACTTGGGGGGTTAGACGTCCACCTGAGGACAAGAGAAAATGTCTGGAGGATACTCCATGAAAAATGTGACAGGGAACAATAAGATGATGGTACAGACTACTAGGCAGGACAACTGCGGATATACGATCTAGTGCACATAGACACTGTCAGAGCAATTCCATGACTTTCTTTCTTCGTTTTTGTTTTTTGAGACAAGGTAACAATTCAAGGCCAGGCTGGACTACATAGCAAGACCCTGTCTCAAAAACCAAAACAAAACGAAGAAAACTAAACTTCTAATTACTATTCTTCTTAGTAATATGTCATAATTTTATTAAAGAGAAACCATGATACAGCCAAATTAATCATTTTTAGAGCCCAAGGGAGGTAGTATACAAAAGTTACTCTTGAATTGATAAAAATGTTCAATTCAAATACTTGGGAGTATCCCACGAGAAAACATCTAAACTATATAAAAGTACTTTTGTGTAAAAATACCTGTAATACCAAAAAGTCAAAATTATGGGCTATAGCTTTCTGAGTATCATTTTTTTTTTTTATTCTAAATTAAGATCCCTTTTTTTTCCCTTTTACTTGGGACCCAGGGACTTCAAACAGGGCTATATTCCCAGCATTGTTTTTTTTTTTTTTTTGCGTGTGTACGGGGAATTGAATTCAGGACCTCACCCTTGCCAGGCAGGTGCTGTGCCACTGAGCTAAATCCCCTGCCCTCTAGCCTTTTTAAAAAACTTATTTTGAGACAGACTCTTAATAAATCAGTAAGTTGCCCAGACTGCTTTGAACTTTCTATCCTCCTGCCTCAGCCTCCAAGAAACCTGCAATCATAAGTGTGTGCCACCATACTTAGCTTAACCTAAAGACCTTTAAAAACTTTTTGGACAGATGTAAGGCAATTTTTCATGAATAAACAAGAGAAATGTGAAACAAAATAACCTAAGATTTAAAATTATCATACACTGGGATTTTTTTTGTTGTTGTTTTTTGTTTTTTTGGTTTTTCTCCGGTACCGGCAACCGAACTCACGACCTTGCGCTTGCCAGGCAGGCGCTTTTGCCGCTGAGCTAAATCCCCAGCCCCGCACTGGGATTTTTTAAAAAGGAATTTTCCATATATTTATACTCCAAAAATGATTTTGGAAATAAAATGCAAGGAAGATCATCACCAAGAAGTGAAGTTTGGTGGACCACAGGATAAGGTAAATGTAAAATATAAAACTATTCTCTGATAATGAAGGAGACAGATACTTAACAGTACTGAAGCCGTTGGAATAATGATCTTTCACATAGGCTCTTAAAGCACTGTCACAGGATTCTCTCCAAGACTTCAAACTTCCATCTATTTCCTCTGGATGGGGGTCACTTGCTTCTTTCCGTAAGTGATCGAACTTAAAGGAAATTTTGTTTCTTGGATCTAAAAATCTGCTATTACCCAGATCACCATGCTCTGTAATTAAAACCTTTCAGAGAAAAATTACAAATATGAGTAACTATAAAAAGACAGTTCTTATCACATTTTACAAAACAAGTAACAAAGAGAAATTCTATAGACAATTTTTCACTTAGTCAAATTTCTCTTTCTTACTGATTTTTCAATCAAGTCTGCTTTTTATTTTTATAAAAAAATACTGTCAGATGTAATGCATGCCTGTAGTCCTAGCTACTTCAGAGGGTGAGGCAGAAGGGTACTTTTTTTTGCTGGGGGGGGGGGCGGTGGTACTGAGGATTGAACCCAGGACCTTTGCACTGAACCATCCATAGTCTTTTAAGAAAATTTTTATAATTTTTAAGTTTTTTCATTTTGGGTCTAAGTTGCCCAGGCTGGGCTTGACTTGTTTGTGAGCCTCTTGCCTCACCTTCCCAATAAGCTGGGGTTATAGACATATGGCACCACACCTGGCTCATAAGGGGTCTCCTGAGCCCATGCATTTGAGACCAACCTAGGCAACATAGCAAGACTCTTTCTCAAAAAGTAAAAAAGCATTATGATGTGCTAGGTACATGTACAAACTCGCCATGATGATGTACTGTAAACACATACTAATAACTAATAAAAAAATTAAAAAACACTGAATATTAGTAAGTTAACTAGGCATGGTGATACATGTTTGTAATTCCAGCACTTTGGGGAAGATAATTTGAGCCCAGCCTGAGCAAGTTAGGGAGATCTTGTCTCCAAATCAAGAAGGCTGGGGTGATAGCTTAGTGCAAAGGCACTGAATTTGATACCAACACCAAAATGAATAAATATATAAAAAAAGAACCAATACAATATTTTTTAAAAGTCAACTTTATGCTGCAAATCTCTCCTCCCTCTAACCATACCCTTCATTTTTTTGATGTCTAGTATGTATGTATATATACGTTATGTATAGCTCTAGTAACTTGTATGCATACTTTTGTATTCTTTTTTCACATTATTTCATGAAACTTTTCCAGTGTCATTATCTTGAGCATTTAAAATAGCTAATACAGCCATAGGGTTCAAAAATAAAAAAACAGGGCTGTGGATATAGCTCATCAGTAGAGTGCTTGCCTAGCAGGAGCGAGGCCCTGTATTTGATCCCTAGCACAACAACAACAAATAAATAAAGTGAAATCGCTTTGTTATCCGTACTTCCTAGCAGCAAATTCTTCTTGGTTTTGTTTAACTGAGTCAGGGTCTCATTACGCAGCCCAGGCTGGCCTCAAACTTTTGATCCTCCTGTCTCCGTTTCCGTGAGCTGGAATTACAGGTACGCACCACCTGCCTGACCCAATGAACCAACTCTTAAAATAACTTAAAGTAGCCTAAATTTCAGTAAGAATGCTTTTGTTTTCTCATTAACTACGTCTCCTGTTATTCTTAGCAAGCAGAATTAGAGGTAGCTGGAAAACTTCTAAGACTTTTTCTTTTTAACTTTTCTTGTGGAAGGCAGCCCTCCTTTTTGTCAAAGAAAATTACTAGTATTATCAGAATGAGGAAGAATTTCCTAGTATGTAGAATATTCACAAAAGTACGAAAACTAAGACATGAATTTATTCAACATCTGATTCACAAATCTGCTTTGGTTTCTAGATCTCTACTATCTGCCAAACATAGGTTATCTAATAGGCAATTATTACCTGATCTTCATATCCTTCTATCTTCACAGGTGTGAACTGATCCATGTTATACTGGGCAAATGCACTGTTTAAAAAAATAATAAAAGTAAATAGTTTCTCTATTTTACCAGCTGCTTAAGCCAAAAACTTGAGTCATCCTTGGCCTCTCCAAGTCCTGCCATGATCCTGCCAAATGTCTTCAATGCTCCTTGCCACTTGCTCCCCTAAGGGCTGGCTATGTTTCTGGTGAGGACCATTACCAGCACCTCAAGCTTCCTGGGGCTGAGCACAGGAATGGACACTGTCATTGCTTGATGTCAGGTGCCTCCAGCATCAGGTGGCCCCAAGGTGCAGTGACCACAGGCAGCCAACCCAGGCCACCTGCCCCAGATTGGTACTCCGCAGTCTCTGGGACAGGGAAGCTGGAAACAGGTCTGAGCACTGCAGTGACACCTGAGGCCCAAGGGTCCACCACATTTCCTGTGAGCTACATATGTGGCCGTGTCCTTTTGAGGGCCAGGGCTGTCTCCTTGCTCTCCTTTTCTCTTCCAGAATTCTCACTTTCTGCACATGTACATCCTTTCTGCATCTCAGAGATGGAGAAGGCAGCCAAGCATGGAGCAGCACCCTGGTGTATGGGATAAAGACCGGGAGCACCAAGCTCAAGACTCACATCCAGGAGGCTATTTACAAGGTCACTGCCTTCTCAGAGGGGAACCAGCCCAACACTGCTTCCTTGAGGTGAAGCCTACTCAGGTGGAGTCCAACTGTGCCTGAACAGCCGGGCTCACACTTACTCGCATCTGTACCAGCTCCCAATGGACCTGTCCTGAGTGTTAGTGCAGGAAAACAAGCAGGTGACAGTCTTAGGAAAGGCCTCTGGAAGCCAGAAAGAAAAGCCCTCATCAGAACCCAGCTCTTGCTACCTACGTGACTGGAATTCTGGCTTCCAGAACTATGAGGAATAAATGTAATTGTTTATACTGCCCAGTATCTTCCTAGTTTTTACAGTAACCTGAGCAGACCAAGCTGTAAACTGGTCAGTCTTAGAGAAAACCACCTGGGAAAGTCCAACAACAACAGAGTTCAGTATGTGTGTGTGGGTCATCCTTGACTTCTCTCACATTTCACATGTAATCTATCAGTAAGCGTATCCTACCCTTCACTAGGGAGTGAACGTCACACTAAGCTACATTCTAGCCGCCTTTTTTTTTCCCCTCTCATATTTTGAGGCAGGTTTCTCTATGTTGGCCAACTGGGCTCAAACTTGTGATCCTCCTGCTTCAGCCACCTAAAGTGCTATGATTACAGGCTGGGCCCACTATATCTGGCTATTAGAATTTTTTTTTTTTTTGTTTTGAAACATGGTCTCTTTATGTAGTTTAGGCTGATCTTGAACTTACTAAGTAGCCCAGGCTGGCCTTGAATGTGCAGTGAAATCTTCTGCCTCAGCTTCCTAAGCACTGGGATTATAGGCATGCGCTACCACATCTGACTCCCATCAATGAACCTTCTTTTAAAAGTAGATTTAACTGGTACATTTTAGATATTATCAGTGACTCTTGTAGGTTCTATTATGTGTATATTCAGAATGTGACTTTCCTTCCTCCCCTCATTTCCACTCTAGTCCAAACCAATACCAACTACCCTTGACCAATACTAATCTCCAAGTATTCAATCTCTGCCCCCCACCAGTGATTAGAATAATCATAACAAGTGGTTATTCTAAAATCTAAGTCTCATAATTATTTTATTTGTACTGTCCTATCTCACTCAGCATAAAATTCACTCTTCAATATGCCCAACAACATCCTACTTATACAAGAAGTGTTGAGAATTGCCACAGATGGTTCTGGTAGTCAGAAATACAAAAGTGGAAATTCAGGATGGTCCCAGGTATATTAGGCTTCCTTTATTTCATATAGAAGGCCATATTGATGATTATTAAAAGCACTATGAAGGACTGTGGCCAAGATGCTGAAGCATTTCACTACAGAATTTAAAATGGAACCCTTCATTCTTATAGAAAAATCAAATATTTGGGTTCAGGAAAATTTGTCTTTAGTAAGATTTTCCAAAAATGTAAGAGTTTACAGAACAGCATATTTATACATATAAAGCTTTAGTGTCAGTGCAATTGAAGCATCTGAATTATTTTATTTTATTTTTTTTTGGTTAGTATGTTTGTTTTTATTTTATTTTATGTTTTTTGGTGCAGCTGAATTATAACCCAACTTCTACTCAGACTTAATTAGAAATAGGACAACAGGCTTAAGCTGTAAATACCTGAGTAGCATTCCACTCCCAGTGTACTTTAGCTATACTGTGTCAAGAGAAATAATACAGTAAGTTTATTTTGGATAGCTCTCAAGGAAAAAACTAGAACCAATACAGCAGGGAAAGTGAAGAACTTGCTTTGTAAGATGGGGAATTCCTCATTACCAGATTGGATAACCATCTGTTGACAGATATAGATGAGGTTCAGTGAACGAGCAGAGGGCTGAATTAGCAAATCATGAATGTTCTTTTCTTTTTGTTTTTGAGACTATGTTGGTCAGGCTGGCCTGGAACTTTCAACTGTTCTGCCTCAGTTTCCCAAGTAGCTGGGATCACAGGGCATACACTGCTGCAACCTGCCTCATGAATATCCTTTTCCATGGAAAATTTTATGCATCTAAGAGAAAAATCAGTGTTAGAATTTTATCTTTAATGTGTGCCTTACTATCCCACAAATGTAAAACTAGGGTTTTCATTCATGATGACAATTACAGTGGTGGTGTCTAAAACCTAGGTTTGCAGATTCTAGCCCCAAAACAAATTCTATGGATAGGACAGGGCATAATCATCTACTGGGCAACAGCGTTTGATACCATTTTCCACAGCCAAAATCTGAACAAGTTACCTATCATACCAAAATGGACTTTATGGTAATTGTTACTTTGTATCAAAATGTCCTTGTCCTCCCCTACTTCCTACCTTTGCCTAGCCACTACCCAGTTCTTGTTTCCTCTTTACAAAGGAACCTTGGCTCACTTGGATAGACAGTAACTCACATGAAGCTCTGTGTTGAACAGTAGAGTAGCGATAAGGCCAGATAACAGATCTTTGAAAGCTAGACAGCATTTAGATTTGGTTTCAGATTAAAGAACTCACTCTGTAGCCCTGGCTGGCCTAGAACTTGCAGCAACCCTCCTGCCTCAACTTCCTGAGTGCTGGGATTATAGGCGTGTACCACCACACCCCGCCAGCATTAAGTACTTTAAACTTAAGTTTTCAGGGTGCTAGTTTACCCAATGTTAGAAAAATGCTGTAAGTGAATTTAGAAAAGATACTTACTGAGCTGCCCCTTCCCTGAGGAGATTGTCATTATTAAGTAGTAGCCGGACATCTGAGGAAGAAAACATGTTGAAACGTTGGGTATTGGGTAAGTCTGAGACATTTTAGCACATTTCTAGAAAAGATTTTCTTTGGGGGAGGGCTTTTAAGACAGGGTCTGGCTATGTTGCCCAGGATGGCCTTGCAGTCACTACAAAGCCCAGACTGGTCCAGAATTCACAATCCTCCCGCCTCATCCTCTTAAGTGCTGGGATAATAGGCATATGCCTGTTCAACTAGAACATGTTTTTTTTAAAATCCAGACTTTTGGGAGGTTAGTCTTCAAATATGCTATATGTGCAGAAATTCTATAAACGTCAATGAATAGATGTTAATGTTCATAGCTTTGTAAACAATTATTAGTGCTATAGTAAATCAACAACAAATTCTCAAGGAATTTCATAACAAAAGAAAAATACCGTCTGCAGGTTTCAGTTAGGCTACTAATCAAATTATTTTTATGTTGCCTGAGATGGAACTCATGGTCTCACACATGCTAGGCAAGCATTTTTACGACTGAGCTACAGTCCTTAGCAGGAGTGTTACTTACTGAATCGTTTAAAATAAGCCTACATAGGCTGAGGTAGCTCAGTGGTAGAGTGCTTGTCTAGCATGCACAAGGCCCTAGATTCAATCCCCAGCCGCCCTCTCCTCAAGCCTAGATTAAGAATTGCAGGCCCTTCTACAACACTAGCTCAAGAAAGCTGGGCAAAATTCTGTCACTGATGTAGAATCCTGACATATTTTCCTCTGAAGAATCTAATACTGTACAGGGGTTTACAGCTTTTTAAAAAGCTGTGTGCCAAACAGTCATTTTTTTCTGTTACTAAGAAAACACCAAGCATGTATTCCAAGAGGAAAGGCTAACTCCAAAGCCAAAGGCTACTGATTTTGAGAGCTTCTGAAAGAAGGGTCTGGTGGTGGCCAGTATGTGCCAATAAAAACCCAGGCCTCATGACAAAAGTAGCTTGCCAATTCCTAATCTAATGATTTGATTCCAGTAATTCTCATGATATTCCTGTAAAGTACATTCAGTTGTCCAAAGTAAAACAAAGGATTTTTAACTACAGGACATTAATGTTGTTAAGTCCTGAATGACCTGAGCTAAAAGTCAAATGTAAAGAGAACTTTATAAAAGCTCAGTTTTTGAAGTTTTACATTTGAGGGAGGAAGACTAGGGAGAAAAAGGCTACCCTTGCCTCCATTGTTGTCAGTACTCAAAATCTAGAAATGATCTTTACAAAGATTTACTTCTACTATATTCTGTATTTCTTACGGTAAATGTTTGTTTTTCCCCTAGCTTTTCTCTGTACCATTAATTTTACCAGGAAATTCTTGACTATTGTACCATGTCTGGGGTTTTGTGTCAGTTATATCACATAGTTCCTCTCAAGGAGCTTACCTCCCAATATAAAACAAGAATTTCAGAGTAAATGTTTGCTAAAATGAACCAAGATGTGTAAAGATGACTTACAGAGAACTTTTTTTTTTATCGTGTAAGTTGTGTTAAAACAGTGAACAATAGTATTCTGTTTGTTCGTTTTGCTTTTTTGGTTTTGTTTTGTTTTCTGCAGTACTAGGGATTGAACCCAGGGGCACTCCACCACCGAGCTACATCTCCAGCCCTTCTTGAGACAAGGTCTTGTTAAGTTGCTCAGGCTGCCCTCAGACTTTTGATCCTCTTGCTTTAGCCTCCCGAGTAGCCGTAATTAAGGGTGCATGCCACTACGGCCAGCTATGTACAGTATGAAAGATTGTAAATACACTAGACAGTGGTTTGAAAATTGGCTGATTCAGAACTACCTCATAAAGAATTTCATAAAATAAAGATTATTTAATTCTGCTCCACATCAAGCTGGATGTTTTGTTACATGCCAGTAATCCTAGCACTCTAAGTGGCTCATGCAGGAATACTGCAAGTTCAAGCCTAGCCTGGGCAACTTAGCAAGACCCTGAAGACTCTGTCCAAAAAAAGTGCTCAGGATATAGGTTAGTTTGAAAGCCTAATGCCTAATAGCTAACTGGGGATTAAACTCAGGGCCTTCACAGTATGTCCTCAGACTTAAAATTTTTTATTTTGAGACAGGCTCTTGTGAAGTCACTAAGTTGTCCAGGCTGGGATGGAACTCGGGATCCTCCTGCCTCAGCCTCCTGAGTGCTGGGATTGCACGCATGGGCCACCATGCCCGGTTTAAACTCTTACAATGATAAAAATAAAACTGTAAGTCAGGTGCAGTGGTACCTGTAATCATAGCTACTTGGGAGGCTGATGTCAGAGGATCACTTGAGCCCAGGAATTAAGAGACCACATTGGGCAATATAATGAGACCCAATCTCAAAAAAAGTCTCCCAACGTAAAACTATAAATCCAACTTAGTACTATTTCTACATTTTTAATATTAAGCTATCAGAAATCTTTTCTTACCTAACATCCTTTTTTTTTTGGCACCAGGAATTAAACTCAGGACCTTGCACTTGCTAGGCAGATGAGTGTGCCACTGAGCTATATCCCCAGTCTAACATAGGTACCCTAATTTATGGGGAAGGAGCTTGCTTTTGACTCAAACCTGGACCTGAATCCTAACTTTGATGCTTACCAGCTGGGTAACCCTGGACAAATCTTTTTCAAACTCTTTGAATGTTGATTTCCTTAGCTATTGCTGCAACACATAATAGGGATTAAGAAATAATAAGCTCTCAATGATGACAATAATTAAGAAGGATTTAAAATACTGAATATTAATCTTTATTTACCATTGAATACTTCATTAAACTCCCCTGGGGGTGCATGAGTGATGAATTTAGCAGCTATGCGTACCTAAAGAGAAATAAAACATCAGTAAGTGTACTGTGAAAAGTTAACATATAAAAAAAGGAATTAACAGATTATAAATTTTATGTCTTGCAAATACTTCAAAGCTCTCCAATCAATAAAGTGTATTCTGATTTTCGAATGTACTGTATGTGCCCGGGCATGGTGGTACACGCCTATAATCCCAGCACTCAGGAGGCTGAGGCAGGAGGACTGCTGGAATTTGAGGCCAGTCTGGGCTACATAGTGAGTTCAAGGCCAGTCTGAACTACATATTGAGGCCTTATCACAAATAAACACCAAAATTAAAATATTAGCAAATAAAGTAAATAAAAATACTAAATAGTGTTTATCCCAATGCAAGGATGGCTTAATACTAACAAAGTAATGTTATTTACAAATTAAAGGAGCAAAGCCATATGATTACTTCAACTCATGCTGGAAGAAAATGATAAAATTCAACACTCATCCCAATATCACAAAGCAACAAAACTCTAGTTTTTAGTAGGAGCAGGATCAATTTTGACTTGATAAGTGGTCAAAATTTGATGGCCACTTTCTTTCTTTTTTTTTTCCGGTACCAAGAACCGAACTCATGACCTTGCACTTGCCAGGCAAGTGCTGTGCAGCTGAGTTAAATCCCCACTCCCTATGGCCACTTTCATGATGAGAAAACATAAGTACTGTCAGTAATTTTAAAGGCAGGATAAAGATGAGTCCTATCATCTTTATTATTCAATACTACACTAAATGTCCTAAAAATGCTATGGAGAAATATTTTTTTGTGTTATTTATCCCAACCTTCCTCTTCTGTTTCCTCATAATCATTCTTCTCTGGATCACCTATTATAAATGGATGCTAAAGTTAGGATCTAATCTGCATATCTCATTTTTTCTCCTACAACTTTTGTTACATTATGTTTTTTGGGGAAGAACTCCTCAGTTCCATTTTTTAGTTCACTAATATGCTCTTCAAAAGCTGTGTCCATTTTATTGTTCAGTTAATTATCCTGACTGTTCTAATGTTAATTTTCAAAATTTTTTGTAATTTCTTTCTTGTGTGCCCACTAATCTTAATGAGGACATTAACCAGTTGGAGCTCCTCTTGGCTTGAGCACTCAGTTTACTTATGGCTTGTCTCTAGTCACTAGAGGAGAGGGAAGGAGTAGACTTGCTGTTGATCAAGGTGTGTGAGCCTAAGCACACACCGTGGGCTATTTGGGGCACTCCCTCTCTGGTCCCAGGGGCCAACCTGAGTGCTAGATTTTGAGAACAAATACTGTTTTTGTATCCAAGATGGCCCAAATCAGAAAAGGGATGTAGTCAAGTGTTCCTCCTACGAAGACAGCAATTCCCCAATTAATCTACTCCAGAATTATTCTTTTCCCTCAGATCCTTTCCTTCCTATTATTTAAGCTGATGTGAGTTCCTCCAAAAGAGTTATTTATTTGGCAGTATCTACATATATTTAAAAATATTTATATAGAAGTATCATGTCAATAACAATAGTAGGTGGCTGGGTGTGCTCTCCGCACTTAAGAGACCAAGGCAGGAGGATCACTGAGTTTGAGGCCAGCTTGCACTACACAGTGAGTTCAACCACACCTGAACTACATAGCGAGATCCTGTCTCAAAAACAAAACAAAAACTGTTTTGCACAATAAAATTTGTATTTCAGGTAATTTTCACATCATGAAAGGCTATTCTTTGACTTTCTTTTCTTTTATGGTGGAGGGGAGGTGCAGTACTGGGGAATGAATACAGTGCCTCTGCACTGAGCTCTATATTCCCTGCTGTTTTTTAAACTTTGAGACAGGGTCTCACTAAATAGAAAAGGTGCCCAGGCTGGGCTTTAATCTGTGATGCTTCTGCCTCAGTCTTCTAAAGTGCTGGGGCTACAGGTGTGTGCTATTGTTTTCAACCATTCAAAAACATTGGCTCACAGCTCAAAAAAGCAGGTGAACTGAATTTGGCCCATGCGTCATAGTTTGCCAACCCTCTGCACAGAACAGAACTTGTTATGCTTGTTCACTGCCACATATATCCAAAGCAAAGACTTGACATATATATGTCCTATGTTGGGAGTGGCTGAAAATGGAAAGTAATTACGCACGCAGGATGAAGCCAGCCCGAGAACGGGGGTGGGGGTGGGGGGCTGTGGGAGGGTGGTGGTGTCCCCAAAGCATGTAAACAAGCCACTGTGGCTTGTGAACTGATTGTTGGGCTGAGGCTGAAATTAATCAACCTCTCATGGGTTTAAAATAAACACTTTACTGTTCTTGGGCAGTTCCCCTTCTCTGCTCTGGAGAGGACCTTCACCTGATGCCTGCTTTTTATTTCTTGTCTATTTTTTCTGCATTCTCATTGCTGTTCCTCCCTGGGGTACAGCAAGAACCCAATGGATCTGTACAATTGGTGAAGGGACACCAGGTAGGAATAAGGGGGTGGTGAGAACACTTCCCCAAAAGCGCACAACGGGAGAAGTGAATTGGTGAGCTAGTATTCAGCACTGGAGTGTAAGGTACTGGCACATCAGGTGTAAAGTGTGGAGATACGGGTTCTCTAAGGCCAGAAAATATATAGCCTTCAAAGAAGCCAAAAAGAAAAAGGTCTGAGTTACTAGCAGTTAAAAATGGGGCAGGTACAGTCTCAAGAATCACAGGAGTATATGTGTACATAAGTGTTTTTTGCATGCCTGACTGATGTATCTTTCTTTTTTGGATTCTCATTAGAAGGGGTTTTAGAACCATAAAGGATTTGACTCGGAACATTATGTTAACATCAAGTCCCAAGCTTGAGCAGGTCAAGGAAGGCAAAGTAACGCTGCTGGTAGAGCATGAGCTCTTTAGCCTTGCTCAATTTAATAGGAAAGAAGCGGTGGGGGACAAAAGAGACCATTCCCCACCAGAGAGATGTTTCCTTGCAAATTACATCTTTCGACATATCTACCTTGTCATTAGAATTCAAACTCCCAATGATCCAAGACAAATAATATGTCTTTGGATTTGTGTAGATATTAGCTCCTCATATGTGCAAGGGATTGCCTTCGCAGCAGCTATCACCTGGGCTATTCATCCACAGTCTGGAGGGAAGGGGAAAAACTGGGCTGTTTGTTTTTGTTGTGGGGACAAGGGATATTTTGCCCGAGGCTGCTCTGTTGCACCTGTAAGGGGCAGCATAGCTATCATCTGTCTCTCAAAGCTTTCCAGTCCTTGTGCAGTGTCAGTGAGGGTATCGTTGAGAAAATGAGTGTAGATCTAAAATTGATGTGAAACACTAGCCCTTCCTGGGAAACTCCCAGTGGGGCCTGCCTCAGCCCCATCAAACAATAGGGGCACAGGCTGGGTGCCAGGAAGGCCCTGCACTTGGGTCCTAAGTGGACTCAGCTAGGATTGCCCAGCTGCCCATGTGTCTATAGGCCCTGACTGGCTGCAGCTGTCTGCACGTTCCACCAACTACAGTCCTGTGTGCCTGGGGCTAAAAAGGACAGTCCTGACTACAGCACACCCTGACTTATGTCATGTGTGCTTCTGGCTCCAGAAATTCATTTGGCACAAATATTGTTTGTGCTCAAAATCCGGACAAAAATGAAAACAAAACACTTCACCATATGGAGATGACATAAAAGTGGATTATAGAAGCTATGAGGTGACTGTGAAAAACTTTTATGGGTATTAACTGGGAGAATCCCACTTAGTACAATAGATCAAAACATCTTTCTGATGATAGAAGCAATATTCTTATTTATGTAACAGGATATGGTAGAAATGGTTTCTTTTCTTTTTTCTTTTTTTTTGTCTTTTTGAGACAAGGTCTTGCTATGCAGTTCAGGCTGGCCTTGAGCTCACTTTGTAGCCCAGGCTGGTCTCAAACTCACAACAATCCTCCTGCCTCAGCCTCCCGAGTGCTGGGGTTACAGGTGTGCATCACCATGCTCAGAAATGATCTCTTGAGGTTTCAAGATTATGAAAAAATTACCAACATACTTGCAGATGCTTTTGGATAGAGGTGGCAATTCCCTAAATTGTTCTCAGTGACCTGTTTGGGTACCAGAACATGCCGTCAGGCTGTATCATGAACTCAGATCTGGAGAAGAAGCTCCCACCTTTCAAGGAGCTGGTGTGCAGTCCTGTGACAGTGACGCCTCAGAGACTGCTCTACAGCCAACAGACAAGGGTAAGGATAACCCTAACCTGGGGCCAACCAAAGAAATTGGTCCAGAAGGCCCAGGAGATAATAATCAAAATGGGAATTAAATATTTGAATAAATGATAGAGTATACAGATATAACTGAGCTGAAAATTATCAGTATTCTTAAGACAGAATAAAATATAAAGTATATTCATTATAGATGGATTATATTCCTTAGAAAATTTTCTGGTAAGAGATCTCTGCCAATTAATGAACAAAATCTGACTAGTCTATTTACAACTATAAATTTCTAAAAATTGTAAGAGTTACTATAATTCAACTTGATCTAGAATATATGAGTGCACTGTGATTCTATGTTTGTGTGTTGTGCACTTGTTACATGTTTGTCATTCTGTGAACAGCTGTTCCCCTTTACTTGGAGCTCAATCATTTTCTTTTTTTTAACCACTTTTTATCATCTGTCTATAGTACAATTTGGATTATAGACTTAAAAGCATGCTTTCTCCTGAATTGCCAGCTAGTTTAAATAATATCAAAATTGGCTTTCTCACAGCTCATCAAAAATTAAGCTTATTTAACCACAATTCCTTAGCGTGAGGAGAAATTATTGGGCAGGACTCCAACTGCTGAACAGAATGATCTCCAGATGCTCTTGGGGGACACCCCCAATAATTTGGTCATAGTTAAAAGTGTTCCAGAAAAATAAAAAATAAGGTGTTCCCATGAAAGATGCTCTTAGTGTGAAACTAAATTAATAAACAAAGCTTTTCACATGTGTATGGTAATTCATTATTGTTAATCTCATGGTATATTAAAAGGTATTCATGATTCTGGATGTACAGGTCTTCAAAATA